AAAATTATTTTTTTAAATTTTTAAAAGTTTACCTTCTTAACTTCCATCTAAAGGAATTTTGCTTGGATGAAATCTAAAAGTTGTGCCTACTTGGAAATATCTCATGCAGTTAACTTACAAATTGCAATATGGTTATCAGAAATTTACATTTCCTTGCTTTCAAGTCTTACAACATTTTTCATGCACATATTGTGTAATTTTTTCTTAAAACTGCTGAAATTTTCTAATAGTATTTAATCTTATTTTTGTTAGTAAAAAATTGCGTTTAGATATAAATTACAATGACGGTGTTAGGTACTAAGAAAAATAAGTGCATTTTTACTTATTTTCTTCTCTGAATATGAGCAAATGCATTTTGTTCATATAATTTTGTTTGGTCTTCTCTTATATCTTCATCGTATTCACATTAGTTGGTTTACTTCCTTACTACAAACACGTATCATTCGAAATTGGTTTAATATTACACCTTAACAGGAAGTATCATCCTGAGTGAAGTCACGGACAAATTAGGTTCATCCTCATATCCTGAATATTAACTTAGTATGATGTAGATAGATAGACATAATGAAATGTTTTTCTTTTCAAACAGTACAAAATATGCACAAATATTAATCATTTGGGTCACTATAGCCGGATATGATTTCTTGAGAATCAGTAATAATAAACGATATGCCATTTTAAACGGAGTCATTATATCCAAACTTTCCTATAGAGAATTTAATATGAAAACCAAACTTAACACTGCAATTACTTCATATTAAGCGGTTGACCAGTGTAGGCGGAGTCATAATAAACGAATTCCATTGTATATAAAATTGTATAAGTGATTCTGTATTTCCAAATTAGTTCGATAAGCTCAGAGAAATAGACAAGCACTTTTCGTGTGTCAAATCACAAGAAATTTCAAATTCGGAGCGTTTACCTCTGTTGGATAATGCAGAGAGATCTGCTGTTTTGTAAAAGCTTCAATCAACTACTAAGAAGTAAACATTATAAAAAATTTATTCATAAATATGAAATCAACAAAATTGAAGCATAGATTAATAAAGATTTTGTATACTTCATTTACTTTCTGTAGCGATGTGCCTCTTCCATTTTCTTGGATGCGCACTGGCAAAATCGTAGGCAGGGAGAAAAAAGCTCATTATACTCTCGTCTCTTGTTCATTAAACATACTTTTTCATACAGTACCTGCCAAAAGTTTTGTTCAATCATGAATAGTAGTGCGAGTCGAAAACAAGCGTTAAAGCCTTTAATATGTCTTCAAATATAAATAAACATCTCGTTGATATTTTCAGTAGTAAATGGTACCAATAACAGCACATTTGAGCAATGCAATTGTA